CTGGTTACAAGCTGGTCTCCAGGAAGGCCTAGACTGAAACCATCACATTCTCCACCCCTTATTCCATACTATTTCTTTACGTAACACCTATATATTGCGTTTGTCTCTATACCGCGCATATACATATATACATATATAGTCCATGTTTATTTTTTCTCGAAGGCTGTTGTCTGTCGTTGACGAACAGCACCAACAGCAGCTCGGTTTGGGTTCTTGGCCCTTTCGTCATAATCACAGTTCTGGTTTAGGGCTGGCTCATTGGTTTGGGCTGTGTCATCATCGGCCATCCTTGGATACACGTATCGGCTTTGTTCAGGTCTTTTTCGTCTGGTGTCTGGTCTCCTGTAAAATACAACTCAAGGCACAGAATTAGTTTTTCCCCAGGGTTAGGCTTCCTTGGGGCACACATTGGATCTCTCCATCCTTCCTCATAACCCACCAGGTATATCCGGGCCCTTGAGCGAAAACAATCCCACGAATGGGTTTGTCTTGGCCTGAGGGAGGATTGATCCAAACGGCCTTACCTAACATACCTTTTAGATGGATCGCTGGAACTTTGTCTCCATCTACAGTGTGGAGGGACTCTGCTTGGGCAGGACCAGCTCGGTTGACAGAGCCTCGGGTGTTGACTAGCCAGGTGGCCTTGGCTAAGTTCTTGTCCCAATTTTTGTAAGTTCCCCCACCTAGTGCCTTTAGAGTCGTTTTCAACAGTCCATTACATCTTTCTACTTTTCCTGCAGCAGGTGCATGATATGGAATGTGATATACCCATTCAATACCATGCTCCTGTGCCCAAGTGGCCACTAGACTGTTTTTGAAATGAGTCCCATTGTCTGACTCAATTCGCTCTGGAGTGCCATGTCTCCACAGGACCTGCTTCTCAAGGCCTAGGATGGTGTTTCGGGCTGTTGCATGCGGTACCGAATATGTTTCCAACCATCCTGTGGTTGCTTCCACCATGGTAAGCACATAGCGTTTACCTTGGCGAGTCTGTGGCAATGTGATATAATCCACCTGCCATGCCTCTCCATACTTATACTTCTCCCAACGTCCACCATACCACAGGGGCTTCAACCTCTTTGCCTGCTTAATAGCAGCACAGGTTTCACAGTCACGGATAACTTGAGAGATGATATCTTTCGCTAAATCCACCCCTCGGTCTCGTGCCCATCTATGAGTGCCATCTCGGCCCTGATGACCCGAAGCATCATGGGCCCATCGAGCTAGGAACAACTCTCCCTTCTGCTGCCAGTCTAGGTCTGCTTGCGAGACCTTGACCTGTGCAGCTCGGTCTGCCTGTTCGTTATTAGCATGTTCCTCATTAGCTCGCTTCTTGGACACATGGGCATCCACATGGCGGACTCTTACATCTAGTGTCTTCACTCTGGCAGCTATGTCTTGCCACAGATCAGCAGCCCAGATGGGTTTCCCTCTACGCCTCCAATTCATCTTTTTCCACCGGTCTAGCCATCCCCATAGGGCATTGGCTATCATCCACGAATCGGTGTACAGGTAGAGCCTTGGCCATCCTTCTCTCTCTGCGATATCTAGGGCCAATTGGACCGCTTTGAGTTCCGCAAACTGACTCGATTCGCCTTTACCTTCAGTGGCTTCCGACACTCGTCGGGTGGGACTCCAAACAGCTGCTTTCCACTTCCGGCTCCTCCCTACAATACGGCAGGAACCATCGGTGAAAAGGGCATAGCGTCTTTCTTCATCTGGCAGCTTATCATATGGCAGAGCTTCTTCAGCTCGACTCACTGGCTCTTCTTCTTCTTCTGCCAGACTGAAGTTCCCACCTTCAGGCCAATTGGTTATGATTTCCAAAATGCCAGGGCGATTCGAGTTCCCGATTCGGACACGTTGCGTAATCAAAGCAATCCACTTACTCCACGTGGCATCGGTGGCGTGATGCGTAGAGGGCACCTTCCCTTTGAACATCCAGCTCAACACTGGCAGTCGGGGTGCCAGGAAGAGCTGTGCTTCGGTACCAATTACCTCTGAAGCTGCTCGTATGCCTTCATACGCCGCTAAGATTTCCTTCTCCACAGGGGTGTAATTGGCTTCAGAACCTCTGTAGCTTCGGCTCCAGAAACCCAGTGGTCGCCCTCGTGTCTCGCCAGGCACCTTTTGCCAGAGGCTCCAGGAGGGACCTTTATCTCCAGCTGCAGTGTAGAGCACATTCCTTACATCTGGTCCCGTCCTGACTGGTCCAAGAGCCACGGCATGTGCAATCTCTTGCTTGATCTGTTTGAATGCCTGCTGCTGTTCAGGACCCCATTGGAAATTGTTCTTCTTACGGGTCACAAAGTAAAGAGGGCTCACAATCTGGCTGTACTCTGGGATATGCATCCTCCAAAAGCCTATTGCTCCCAGAAAAGCTTGGGTTTCTTTCTTGTTTGTGGGCGGAGCCATTGCTACAATCTTGTTGATTACGTCTGTTGGTATCTGACGTCGTCCATCTTGCCATTTCACCCCTAGGAATTGGATCTCTCGAGCAGGTCCCTTGACCTTGCTCTTCTTGATGGCGAAACCAGCATCGAGGAGAATCTGAATGATCTTCTGTCCTTTCTTGAACACTTCTTCTGCTGTGTCCCCCCATACAATGATGTCATCAATGTATTGGATATGTTCTGGAGCCTTACCCTTTTCTAGCGTGGCCTGAATCAGTCCATGGCAGATGGTTGGACTGTGCTTCCACCCCTGGGGCAGTCGATTCCAGGTATATTGAACGCCCCTCCAGGTGAAAGCAAACTGTGGCCTGCACTCTGCTGCTAAGGGAATGGAGAAAAATGCATTTGCGATGTCAATGGTGGCGTACCACTTTGCTGTCTTGGACTCTTGCTCATACTGGAGCTCCAACATGTCTGGTACAGCAGCGCTCAATGGCGGCGTGACTTCATTCAAGCCACGATAGTCCACGGTTAATCTCCATTCACCATCAGACTTACGTACAGGCCAGATGGGGCTGTTGAAGGGTGAATGGGTTCTGCTGACCACTCCTTGGCTCTCCAACTTTCGGATCATCTTGTGGATGGGGATCACAGCATCTCGATTCGTCCGATACTGTCGTCTGTGTACGGTTGTTGTGGCTATTGGCACTTCTTGATCTTTAACTCGCAGTAGTCCTACAATGGAAGGGTCTTCTGAGAGGCCAGGAAGGGCAGACAATTGCTTGGACTCTTCTTCAATTACCGTGGCTACTCCAAAAGCCCACCGGTACCCTTTCGGGTCCTTGAAGTATCCTCTTCTCAGATAGTCCATGCCAAGAATGCAAGGGGCTTCTGGCCCCGTCACAATGGAATGCTTTTCCCATTGGTCTCCTGTCAAGCTCATGTCAGCCTCCACCACTGACAACTCTTGAGACCCTCCTGTCACTCCAGAAATTGAAACAGTCTCGGTACTCTTATGCTCCGAAGGCATTAAAGTACACTGGGCTCCAGTATCTATCAAGGCCCGGTATCTCTGAGGATCCGATGTGCCAGGCCATCGAACCCACACAGCCCAGTAAACTCGGTTATCTTCTTGGTCCCTTTCCTTCTCCTGGCAGAAGGCAGGGCCCCTCTACTGGTCTTGATCAGAGCATTCATCGTCGGACTTTGACTTCTTAGAGGCCTTTTTGCCATCGTCAAAGCGGACCTCCATCTTTTTGTGCTTTGGCGATCGCAGTTTCTTTTCTAAGAAGTCTGCATCTACTACGTAGACAACTTTCTTGTCCGTGTCCTTTTGCTTCAGCTCTCTCACTCTAGCTTCAAGCTTGGAAGTGGGTTCACCGTCCCACTTCTTCATGTTTTCTCCTTTACTACGAAGGTATGTCCATAATTGGTTACGTGACCGACGCTTGGAGTTTTCTTTCCTTCGACGTGTGAATGACGGAGATCGTGAGCGAGATCGAGACCAGGATCGAGGTCTAGGTCGAGGTCGTCTGCGTCGATCCCGTCGTGATCGTTCCATTGGCCTTTCTCTGTAGTCTCTATACCTTCTGTCATCTCTGTCTCTAAGGTCGTCCTCATATCCGTAGTATTCATAATCTCTCTCCATTCTTTCCCTATCATAGGGGTATCGGTATAGAGGGTCGAAGGAGTCTTCCAGATTTTCCTCTATGCTCCTCATCCAAGCGCACATGGTGTCCACACTTGGTTCATCCATCTTTGGATGATATGCGGTTATTAAGCAATACCTATACGGTTTAGGAGCACCTTGAATTACCTTTTTCCACATCGGTTGTGTACAAGGAACATTCCCGGGAACTTGGATGTCATAATATTCTGGATCAGAGTAGACGATCTCCTGCATGGCCAATTCCCGTAGGTATTGGATGCCTTCTTCCGCAGTCCTCCACCTTCTTGACGAACTCTCCATGGACTCCTTAAACGGGTATTTCGCCCTCACAACATGAAGAATTCGGAGCCAAAGACTGGACGCCGCTTTCTCCCTTCCCATTTCTTGTTCGATCTTAGGGTCTCGGGCAATGGATCCCAGTTGTCGTGCTTCGTCACCTTCAATTATGTGACTATCAACTCCCTTGTCCCAGCATCGCACCAGCCAGGCGAGGACTTGTTCACCAGGCAAGCGCATATAATCTCTCCGTAAATCTCTAAGCTCTCTTGTGGTCAGCGATTGTGTAATTTCGCTTTCTCGCATTATTTCTTGTCCATCTCTCCCACGTAGAATCTTTTCCACCTCCCTTTTTACTCTTCCGCTCTTACGTGGAACCACTCCTGCCTCCTCTCTGTATCTCTCACGTGGAGGTGGAGACTGGGCATGCCGTGGGGATAAGCTTCTATGTTGTTCACGGTGTGGAGATGGACTTCTACGCCGTTCACGCCGCGGAGATGGACTTCTACGTCGTTCATACCGTGGAGATGGACTTCTACGCCTTTCATACCGTGGGGACGGACTCCTATGTCGTTCACGCCGTGGAGATGAACTTCTACGTCGTTCACGATACCCAGCAGGTGGAGGTAGCGAGTAGTCTCTCGGATGCCAGGATAAGGGCCTCCTCCAATCATCCACGCCTCCAAGAGAAGGTTGGGTCTGGAGGGGTAGGAATAATTCTCCCTCGGGTCGAGGGGGATACTTTGGCCCCTTCTTTGCGTCTTTTGTAACACTGAATGTGTAGTCAGGGTATAAATCATCAAGTGACAATACACCACGGGCCGTTTGTACTGTTGCCTTCCTTTCTCTTGATACTGCTCTGCTTTCCTTTGGACGCGCCCCTAGTTCTTTTGGGCGTGCTCCTTCCCTTGCAACTGTTTCTTCCTCTCTGGCAGCTGCTTCTTCTGTTGCAATTGCTCCTTCCTCGGTCACAGCCACTTCTTCCTCTCTCGCAATTGCTCCTTCAATCATTGTTGCCGCTCCTTCCTCGCTCATAGCCACTCCTTCATCTGTTGCTGCCGCTCCTTCGTCCATTGCTGCCGCTCCTTCATCAACTACTTCCTGCATGGTTTGAATAGGTTCCTCTGCTCCTTCTTCTTCTTTTTCTTCTTCTTCTTCTGTGTGTTCCAGTAGCGGAGATGGGTCTGTAAGTTCTTTGATCTCCCTTACCCACGTCTTCTTCTTCTTAATGGGGGCAACAATGACTTTCCGGGTTTTAGCTTGAGTCCCGGTTCTAGTGGGCTTGGTAGAAACAGCACTGACTTTTAGTTGTGTTTGGACCCCGACTTCTGTGGACTTAATAGGGACATCACCGGTTTCAGGTGGCGTGGTTTGGGTTTCTGTGTTGACCTTAACCCTTTGAAAGTAGTCTACAGCAGCTCGATAAGCATTAGCCAGGCCCCAGCACAAAGCAGAGAATCGCATATTCGGGTCCTTGTAGGAAAAGCACCCTTCTGTTAGACAACGGGCCATCTCACCGGAATCAAATATCTGTTCCGGTGTGAACTCCCAATTAATGGGAGGTGACACACTTCCTACTAATTTACCGAAATCTACCCAAGCTCCATGCCACCCGGGGACTGGCCTGTCCGCAGCCCTTTCCAAAGTTCCAGCGATCTCCTTTGAGGTGCGATCTTTCCTGCAACAGGGAAAGCAATACAACACCATTCTTCCAATTTTAAGCAACACTTCCATTACCTTCATTAATAACAGTATGGTTGCCACACAATTTAGATAATAATTGGGTCCAATCGTAACCATGGGGATCTCCTTTACCAGGCCTTTAATATCGAGGTTAAGAAAAGAAAAGTACTGGCAACATTCGTCCTCTGGGCGTGGACGTTTCCCTATGGGATAACTCAGAACGGGCACAAGCATTGCCAAAATCAGCAAGGAAATAGGTAGAATGGTCTTTAAAAGAAGAGCCCTTGCCCTATAGGACCGTCGGGCAATGCCAATTTCGGGGTCATTGTTAGGGCCACCTACAGAGTTCCTGTGGTAGTTGCTGATGAAGGTAGAGCCAGCACTACCCATTGTTGTTATTATTATTTCTTCTTGTTCTTAAAACAACCCTTTGTTTATGTAAACAAAGTTTCTTGGCTGCTTTCCCAGACTCTGGCAGTGTTCCCAGACCTGTTCCCAAAACAATAGATTTGGTTTGAAAAAATAACACCGAGCTTGGCTGTCTTCCCGGACAATGTTTTCAAAACAGGCCAAATTTAACCAAAATATCCCACCGCTGCCACCAAAAATTGTTGTGCAAGTTTGGAGCTGGCTTCCTGCCAAGTCTCCGAAACTCGACA